TCCATGCTTTACCTTTTGCAAAATGTATGTAATTTTAGATTGCTTGCTTCTAGTTAAAAGGTCTTTATAAATTTCCTTATATGGTGCTAAGCACTTATGAAGAATAAAGCAAGTATGGAATAAGGGAAAAACATTCGGCAACATCAGAAGCAGAAGCGTCGAGATCTGGCAACATTGAAACAAGTTTCGAGAAGGACCACGTGTATCGACAGAAGGCGAGAAAAGAAAATTTACATACTTAAGTACTAATAGTTCACGAAAATAATAATTTTATATGTAAAAATTTATTACATTTCATGTTGTACAAAAGTTTTACCTAATTCTCGAACCGTGTCAGAGTGAATCCGTGCTATAACAGTACCGTGTTATACGGGGGTGGTACCAATTCTCGAACCATGTTAGAGTGAATCCGTGCTATAGAAGTGCCGTGTTATATGGGGGTTACCTGTATATATATGATATTATAACTAGCATACTTGTGAGTTAGAATCATTGCAATTATTAATATAAAAGCTGTTGTCTCTCTCTCTCCTTTTCTCTCTCTGTGCATGAATTCATTATAACTCCTACAATTTTTGTCTGATTCAGATGAAATTTTGGTTATATTTGTTTTATGTTTTGACAGAAAGTTTAGGCTACTTATTTTGTGGAAATGTTAGCTATAGAATAAACATATTATTGCTTTGGGATCAGTTATTGCAGTTATGTTGCAGTGATGTCTGTGATCACATGACATTCATGCTTGATGAGGGAATTTCTCTTAAGTTGCATTTTTAAATATTTTGGCAAATGGCATACTTTAAACTTACTTCATTAAATTTAAACTTTAAAAAAAGATAGCTGCATGTGTCACTTTTATAACAAATTTAAAAAAGAAATTTTTCCATAGTGACCATGTGACATTTTATTATTCAATCAGAAGTAACAATTTAATGAGCCCATTATTTAGAAAGTGTTATTGTTCATCTAACTAACATACATACAAATCATCTTTGTTTTATCAACATGGAATTAAAAAAACTCACTATTTTATTGGGGGGAATAAATGCATAGGAAAACGCATAAGTGTTAAATTAGTCAGGGAAATTCTAGATTTAAAAGAATAAGAACAACTGAGACCCTTGAAAGCCATGAGGTCTTGACTTCAGTAACATTGAGTAAGAATGGCTTTGTCAAGGGCTGCAGAAACAGTATCACAATGTCAAGTTTGAGTATAAACTACTTAATTTGTAGAAATATTAGCAACCCTTCTTGAATTTCTTGAAATATCTACTCTTCTCAATTCTCCAATTTCTACTTTCTTAAAAAAATATTTTGTCATGCTTGACAGAGAATTTCTAGTGATATAATAATATCTATTCCTTAACCACTCTGCAGTGATCGACGGATATACCAGTCCAAGGCAATCACATGGCACTGGAGAATGATGTCTATATCTGCAAAAAAATTTTGTGGATATCGCCAAAAATTACAGTGAAAAAGAATTCACATAAAAAAGGAATTACGTGACAATAAAGAAAGATTTTTCTTTACTGGACATAACTGTTTAAAAAAATTTTTTCCAAAATGGAAACGAGAAAAACACATGGAGAAATTCTTAAAAAATTTCCCACGTTTATTCTCCACTACATCGTGATAGTGCCATATCTGCCTAACCCTCTCTACAAAGGTTAATATGAATCAAATGTAAATGAAAAAAGATTTTTATGCTTATTTTTGTAGTGATTTGAAAGTAAATAAGCTGTTATTGTATGCTATAAGCTCTTTATATTTTAAATATGTTAATTTATAATTGTTCAGAATTGTAATGTCTTAACAAAGTTATATAAAAATATAAAACAATTTGATACAATATCATTGACAATGTCATAACTATATCAACTTCTCATTTTTAATTTTTAATTGTATTTTAGCATAAATTGGCTTTTTTGCAGATATATCTATATAAATGTTTTTTATTTGCTATAATTTCAGATCAAGTTCATCTTTTAATAAAGAAGTTTTTGTGGATTTTATGGCTGCCCAAATAAAAACGTTATCCTTCTTAGCATATATAGTGAGAATTTATCAGGTAAATTAAAAGTTTTATAGCAAAACTAAAATTACTAACCAATTCTTACTTAATTGTATTGTAGAAAAATACACAAAAAATCAATATTTTTTTCCTTCCTGACTTAGGGGATTTACGGATGTAATAAAAGTGTTTTTCTCTGCCAAGTTGGTTTGCTTTTACTTTTTTTTAACTTTAATTTTTATTTCATTATTTATGTAATGTTTCAGAATTTTGAAGTTATATATATATATCCTCCTTAAGTCAGAAAGGAAAGAAGAATTGATTTTTTTTGTGTATTTTTCTACAATACAATTAAATAAGAATTGGATAATTAATCTAATTCTATTGTTTTAAATAGTTATTTTGAATAAAAATACTAGATTATATATGTATATTACAACACCAATTCTTTATAGGAAAACAATTAATTGTTGTTTTGCTTCAGCTACTTCATAAGAAAGAAAGTATAAAAAAATTACTATATTTATATTTGACTGAAGTTTTTAAGTTTGATCTGTTTCATAGAAAAGATGGTCGTTTTTATTTAATTAAAGATAAAAGCCATTTGTTTTTAATTTTGTTTTCAAAAACTGAATTTAGAAGATTTAAAATTTAAGTGATATTCATAAAATCTTGCTGTATTATGCCTATAAAAATAATAACAATAATTTCACACAGAAAAATGTTCCTAATAATTTTCAAGTATGAAATATCACTTCATAATTTTAATTTAGCCTAATTTAAAATTTAATATTATGCTGAGTGAAACTTCATATTTTACAAGCAAATGAATTACTTTAATAATCTGTAATTATTTTAGTCTGGATACAAAGCAACAGTTATATTTGCGTGTAATTACTATTCCTTAAAACATATATTATTTATTTTTATTTTACTTTTTGTTTTATCTAGACTTTTATGTATGTATATATATATATATATGTTTGTATGTATGTAAATATATATATTTATATATTTATAAATATTTATCAGGAAATATGTAAAATACACAATAAAAATTAATCTAAGTTAAAACATGATTTTATTTCATTTTTTTACGTATTTTTGACAAAAGTTAGTTTTATATTAAAATATAAAATTTCTTTGTTAAAGAGAGATATAATTTAAGAAGTTTTTCATAAATTTAATCTGCATTAAAGTAATTTTTGCTATTTATTAAAAAAATTTTCAATAATTATAGAAAAAATATAAGCAAATTATAACTTGTTTTCTTAAATAACATGCATTTTGTATTCAGTGAATAAAATATTTTTTATAATATAACTTCTATTAAAATATTTTTAGGATATAGTTAACATTCATTCAAGTCAGTTGGCTAAAGGAATGCTTGGTTTGTTAACTTTATGTCCTCATGAAGTAGCACATCTTAGGAAAGAACTGTTGATAGCTGCACGTCATATTTTAGCAACAGACCTTCGAGAAAGTAAGTTTGTATGTGTATGCATGTTTACATTTACTGTAATAGTATGTTAATTTTTTTTATAATTACATAATAAACTTGGGTTGTTAAATAATAAACAAAACTTACTCTAACACCTTGTAAACGTGCAGATAAATTTATTAACTTCCTAACGTTTTCAGCCATTTTAAATGACCTTTATCAAGAAAAAACTTTAAAATTCAAACACAGTACATTCGCATAAACGAATAGGTTTTTCAAATGTTTTTGAATGATATTGTATTGAACATTAGGTGCACCATCTTTATCAATATCTAATATTAACACATGAAGATAAAATAAAATCGGGACCATAAAGAGAAAATAACCACAAACATTAAAAAGAAATTAAGACGCCTCAAATATAACATATATATAAATTAAAAGAACTTTCATATGACTTTGACTGTGAGTTTGACCCAAACGAAAATTGGAAAAGAATTAAAGATACAATAAAGGAATCGGCTGAAAATTTTCTTGGATATGTAAATGGTACTAGAATTAAAAAAAACTTGAATTACTCAAGGAATGATTGAGAAAATGGATGAAAGAAGAAATTGGAAAAATATAAATAATGAAAAAGGGAGAATGATGTACAAGAAGTTAAATAATGAATTGAGACGTGAAAGTGGAAAAGCTAGAGAAGCTTGGTTAAGTAAGGAATGTGAGGAAATCAAAGAACTGAACAAAAAAGGCAGATATGATCTATCATACAAAAAAGTCAAAAAACTAACAAATGATCTCACCCACCAAATTCTGAGTATTGAAGACAAAGATGGAAAAGCACTTTTAATCCCAACTGATATAATGGGCCATTGGAAAGAATATATTAGAGATCTCTATGGAGAGAACACAAAACCTAAAGAGTTAAAATTGGAAAAGTCTTCTCAAATAGCTAATGATGAAAGAGGACCTATTATCATGAAAGATGAAGTTGGATTGACAATTAAAGAATTGAAAAACAAAAAGTCAGAAGGAGTAGATGGATTACCAGCTGAATTTCTAAAAGGGTTAGGCAAGGAAGGAATCAAGAAAATAACAGACTTATGCAATCTCATATATAAAACAGGAGAATGGCCTGAAGACTTTGCTCAAAGTATTTTGATACCTATACCAAAGAAAGCAAAAGCTAAAAAGTGTCGTGATTTTAGAACAAATAGTTTAATTTCACATGACTCAAAAATCCTTCTCAAAATCATTAACAGAAGACTCTACAACAAGGCTGAAACATTTCTATGTGAAGAACAATTTGGATTCGGAAAAGGAACGTAGGATGCTATTGGCCTCTTGAGAACAATCTATGAAAGAAACATTGAGGTTAATAAGGATATGTACATTTGCTTTATTGACATGGAAAAGGCTTTTGATTTGGTTAACTGGACAAAGCTAATGGAAATCTTAAGAAAAATAGGAACAGATTGGAGAGATAGAAGACTCATTGCTTCACTTTATATGAATCAATCTGCCATTATCCAAACAAAAACTGAAGAAAGCAAACCATGCAGTATTGGAAAAGGAGTCAGGCAAGGGTGTACACTTTCACCTACTCCTTTTAACATTTATCTTGAGGAATTAATGAATGAAGCAATAAGTGAGGACAGCCTCGGAATTAAAATTGGAGGCCAATTAATACAAAGCATTAGGTTTGCAGATGATATTGCTTTACTTGCACCAAATGAACAAACTCTACAATGTTTGGTAACAAAACTCAACAAAACTTGCAAGAAATTCGGAATGAAAATTAACATAGCTAAAACAAAAGTGATGAAAGTTGGAAGGCTAATTAGCAAAGATTTGAAAATCCTAATTGATGGAAACAAAATAGAGAAAGTTCAACATTTTAGGTATCTTGGCAACATTATTCAGGGAGATGGCAGATGTGAAAAAGAAATCAAAGAATGAATCAGGGCTGGAAAAATGGCTTTTTATAAGAAGAAGAACCTTCTTATTGGAAAAATGAACCAAACACTTAAAAAGAAGTTAATAAAATGCTTTTCCTGGAGCATAACTTTATATGGAGCAGAGACTTGGACCTTAAGGAAAAAGGAAACAAACTACCTTGAAGCATATGAAATGTGGTTATGGCGAAGAATGGAGAAAATCAAGTGGACAGAAAAGGTTAAGAATGAAGATGTTTTAAATTTGGTCCAGGAACAGAGATCTCTTTTAAAAACAATACAAAGAAGAAAAAATAACTGGCTAGGTCATATATTGCGAGGAGAAGGATTAATGCGAGTGGCATTAGAAGGAAAAATTGATGCAAGGAAACAAAGAGGAAGAAAAAGAAAAGTATTGATAGATGATGTTTTACTGGGCAAAACTTATAAAGAAATAAAAGAAGAAGCCCGAAATAGAGAATGTTGGAGAAGGAGAATTCTATAATTTGACTGCTTTCCACAGATTTGTCCTAGGACAGAACACCCATGAATGAATGAAATGAAATATAACATATAACGTAACACGGGCATATAGTAATGTTAAAAAACATTTAGGCTGTCTGTTTCTTAAAAATGCGTTTTCTACTGTATCCTTTTCCTCTGTATATTAGGGTTTATATCAAGCTTGAGTGCCATGTCACCGACACTTTAGTTGATTCTCGAAAGTTGATGGAGAGACCTTTTTGGTTGGCTTTACAGATCTGCCATGCTTCCGCGTAACGACGGTGCTTAATGTCCCGAACTACTTATATTAGTCTTGCTTGGTCCCATTCGGCTTTGACTTCTTGGGGGTTGGCTAAAACGTAAGTGGCCAGAGCTGTGCATGATTGTTCACTTCTTACACTTCTTTGGTATTCCACTATCCTATCCTTGATAGATCTTCCAGTGGCTCCAATATACATTAATTTATTTTGTTGCCGTGTTTCTGTAATGGGGATTTTATAAACTCCAGGAAGTGTGTTCCTGTCAGCCTCGTCTTTATCTGATCTTAGTAGTTGGTAAATGGTAGGGTTCCTTTCTATATATGATTCTTTTGTTCGTGGCTTTTCCTTGTAGAAACAACATGAAGCTTGAGTTTTTGACAGAATGCAGAACTCGCAATGTCTTTCCTATGTCGATTTGGCAAATTCGTTTACTGCACGGATATGCCTCGCTAATCCCTAAATTTAGAACCATCTGCTTATGAAAAGCTATCCGCAACATAAGAAGGAGAAAGTTTTTCCTGCTGAAAGAGCTAATCGAACTATAAAATGAACTATATGACCTTGACCCTCATGTTTTAAAAGAAGCTAACGAACAAGTCGTAAGCTTAGCTACACAAGTGACAGAAAGATTAAAGAAGCGATATAAGAACAAAATGGCATGGATCAGAAAGCACCAAGAAACTTACTATAAAACGATGATCAGATCTACGGTTATATGAGACAGCATCAACCTGTCTACTTACGTGAACAAGGCATGTAAATATGGCCCTAAATATGCCCCACTACCTATAGTTATGCACGACAAACTCATGCCGGATGTTGAGCAGGCATTAGAGGGCCTGAGCGAGATCAAGAAAGAAATGTTCAGGTGGGAAGTTGCGCTTAAAATCAAGCACGAAAAACATAAAAGAGACAGCGAACCAATTTGTTCTTATATCAGAAAAACTCTAAAGTGGCTGAAAGATAATAATCTAGTTCTCACAAGGGCTGACAAGTCAAAAGATTTAGTAATTATGAAGAGAAGCAGATATGATGACCTTCTGTCAAAATACATCAGAGATACCTGCTGTACGACTGCGCACCCCAACGCCATGGTGAAATTATAAGCAAGATTTAAAAAGTTCGCAACCTCACTCTTGGCCAAAGAGCTGGGCCTCAAGAATATAATAGTTCAATTGCTGTCAACCCCTAGGCTATTTGGATTTGCAAAAACTTATAAAAATGATAAAGCTTCAAGACTGGTGGTCGATAAAGGAAACGCACCCACAATATTAGTAGAAAAGTGGGTACACAACTTCGTTCAGCAATACGCTCCCAAGAATCAATACAGCATCAAACAACCTGTAGAGCTTTTAAATAAAATGGCTAATATAAATTCGCAAGAAGTTAAATATATGACGGTGTTGGACTTCAAGGCACTTTCTCCATCTGTTAAACTGGAACCATGTTTTTGTCATCTAAGTGACCTCCTGCTTTGCTAGATCACCTCCCCAGAAAAGAAAAGAAAGCAGATTTTAGAGCTAGCGCACCTTACTATTTTTCATTGATATTTAACTTCAAAGGTGTCACTTACACTCAACAGAAAGGTGTAGCTATGGGCAGCCCTCTTGCAGGTTCGTTATATGAGATGATACTTAGAACACTAGAAAATGCAGTATTGCCGAAATGCAAATGCTAACGTACACTTGATACGTCAACGACGTAGTTATATTCTGGAAAGTAAAACCTAACATACAGCACTTCATAAAGGACATAAATGATAACAGATTCGACCTAGAGATAGAACTCGAGCAGGAAAATGATAAGATGATACATTTCTTGGACCTATCTATACAACTTGACAACTTAGGAGATTTCCGTACTAAGGTCTACCGAAAACCCATCTACAACCGGATATTTATTCCCTGGATCTCCCAAGACCCCCAAGTGTATAAATTAGCAGAATTTCGAGCACTCATCACAAGAGCCCATTCACACTGTAACAATACCCAGGACAGAACAGAAGAGCTGAATTATATATATAAGCTAGCCAAGACATACAGGGTCAATATTAAGGCTATTACCAGCCAATGCTGCAAGAGAAGAAAAGTACCTAATACCGAGGGGTTTACTACGATAGAATATAGAGCATCACTGAATAATATCTGTAGATGCATCGGAAAAGCCACGAACAAAAGAATCATATATAAAAGGAACCCTACCATTTACCAACTACTAAGATCAGATAAAGACGAGACTGACAGAAACACACTTCCTGGAGTTTATAAAATCCCCATTACAGACACACGGCAACAAAATAAATTAATGTATATTGGAGCCACTGGAAGATCTATCAAGGATAGGATAGCGGAACACCAAAGAAGCATAAGAAGTGAACAATCATGCACAGCTCTGGCCACTTACGTTTTAGCCAACCCCCAAGAAGTCAAAGCCGAATGGGACCAAGCAAGACTAATACAAGTAGTTCGGGACATTAAGCACCGTCGTTACGCGGAAGCATGGCAGATCTGTAAAGCCAACCAAAAAGGTCTCTCCATCAACTTTCGAGAATCAAATAAATTGTTGGTGGCATAGCACTCAAGCTTGATATAAACCCTAACATACAGAGGAAAAGGATACAGTAGAAAATGCATTTTTAAGAAACACAGCCTAAATGCTTTTTAACATTACGATATGCCCGTGTTATGTTATATGTTATATTTGAGGCGTCTTAATTTCTTTTTAATGTCTGTGATTATTTTCTCTTTATGGTCCCGATTTTATTTTATTTTTATGCTTTTTATTTTATCTTCATGTGTTAATATTAGATATTGATAAAGATGGTGCACCTAATGTTCAATAGAATATCATTCAAAAACGTTTGAAAAACCTATTCGTTTATGCGAACGTACTGTGTTTGAATTTTAAAGTTTTTTCTTGATAAAAGTCATTTAAAATGGCTGAAAATGTTAGGAAGTTAATAAATTTGTCTGCACGTTTACAAGGTGTTAGAGTAAGTTTTGTTTATTGAGTAATATGCAGTCTCAGATGAATTAAATAATAAATTAAAACTTAGTTTTAAAGAGTATGTATTGTTAATGGATTTCATGATTAAAATTTATTTTTAATCATATGTATTTTGTGTAAATAGGAAAATTAAAGATAAATGCACTTGGCTGTTTAATTTACTTTGAACATTGATAGTTTTATACAGTAACTTTTAGATTTTTTTTTATGGCTTAGATATAATGATTATTTTAACTTATTTTCTTCAGAAATAACTTGAGACTTAACACAGATCTTAATATTAATTATGTAATGAATTATGTATGTAATTTTCATTACATAATTAATATTAATCTGAGTAAAACAGACTTTGACACATAAAATTGCCCTTCATTGAAAACAATACATTTTGGATTGGAACTCTGCCAATCAATTGAGGCTAAAAAAAATACAGGATTTATTTTTAAAAAATTTCTTTTTTACAATCATAACATAAAAATAAAAAATTACAAACTTACATATTTTACAAAGACCAAATTTAAAAATTTAAGAGATTTAATAAATCAACTTCATCCAACTTCATGAAATTATCCATCTCCACAGACATTACAATTTTTCTAATTGATTATGATGTCTTTCCAAACTACATCAATATCCATGCTAGTATTTAAATTAATCAAGTTTTTGAGATTAACTATTACTATATGTTTTTTAAATTTTCTTAAATAAAGATCTTTATTTTTAAATAATATTTTTACATTATTTCTATCAATTTTATTATTATTAATTTTAAAATGTTTAATCTGTGGACACTGCATGTTTCCAATTGAATTGCTACTTCATGTTCTTTTACTCCATCATTCAACATTCATTTTGTTTCTTCTATATAATAAATTTCTTTTACGTTATGATATGTACAATTTAATCTATATACAACTCCTGTTCCTATTCACACAGCAAACTTTGCATCTGAATAGTTTTTAGCTAATGGGTTACCTATTATTGATTGGCCAGCTCTATCTCCTGATCTTAATCTAATGGGAAATCTTTGTGGTATTCTGGCTATAACAGTGGTTCCCAAAGAGGGTGCTACTTACCCTTGGGGGCAGTGAGTAAATCTAGGGAGATGATAAGAAGCAAGGGGTCAACAGGAGGTGCTGGAGGCATGGTTCTGATAACCTTTCCCTTTTTTCCATTAAAACATGTAAGAAGAAACATTGCATTTAATGGTTTCTTGGTGTGGAGAACAATGTATGATAAAGGATACAAAGTTTGAGGTTCATAACAAAATTTTTCTAAGAATATTTTGAAGCCTTTCTCACACAAGAGAAAATGGTTTAGGGGGCATTGGGGGTATTGGGTATAAGTTTATGGAACCAAGGGAGTGGTGGCTTGAAAAGTTTGGGAATCACTGGCTTAGAGCCTTATACACAAATGGGTGGCAATATAATAGTGTGAAGAAACTAAAACAAGCCCTAATTCATCACTGGGAAGAAATAAATTCATATATTTTCCAAAAACTCATACAGTCAATGCCAGATCATATTTACAAAGTTATTATTTTAGTAATATGCCAAACAACTGCCAGATTAAATCTGACAGTGTTTGGCACATTACTAAAATATCAGGCTTTGGGATGTTTGTGTTATTATTTTAGCCAAAGGAGGCTTCATTGGGTATTAATTTATTAACATGTCATTAATTGTTTCAATTAATTTTGTTATATGCCTTTATATTTTTGGGACAGTCAAACTGATAAAAATTTTTTAAACTTGTTGTTTATTTTTTTCTGTATCAATAGATGGCTGAGTTTTTATATGTGTATTTGGGAAGGTTCAAGCAAACTGAAAATAAATTATTTTTACAAAATTTTCAGTGTGAATGATTTTACATGGAAATCTGTTATGCCTTTATATTTATGAGATGCACCTTAATATGATACAAATATAATATGAACCAAATATAAAATAAAAATAATGCTCTTGAGCATCCTTTGTGTTATATATAAAAATATAATAGGATTTAAAGATATTAATTTTTTATGATTAATTAATTTTATTATATAAATTTATATGAATTAAAATAAAAATGTACAAGTGTAGTAAATTTTTTTTCTATTTTAGAGTTTGTGTCTTGCTTAAACCAGTTTTTTGATGAAACCATTTTGATAGGATCTGGATGGACAGCGTATGAATCCTTAAGGTATAATACACTCTCTTAATATTAATATTATTTTTTAATATAAAATTACAAATGTCATAAATTAAAATATTTGAAAATTTCTTTAGACCTTTAGCTTACAGCACTCTTGCTGACCTAGTTCATCATGTTCGTCAACATCTTCCATTAAAAGAATTATCATCTGCTGTTACTGTATTTTCTAAAAATGTACACGATGAATCTTTGCCTACTTCTATTCAAACCATGTCTTGCAAATTACTTTTAAATCTTGTTGAATGTATAAGAGGAAAATCAGATAGGGAAAGTGGAAATGTATGTTTTATTATTAATTAAAATTTTTAATTAAGTTATCAAAAATTTAAAAATATATCGATTTAAATTTTTATTTGTTTTCAGGGTAGAGAGCTTTTAATGCGAATGTTAGAAGTATTTGTATTAAAATTTAAAACTATTGCAAAATTGCAATTGCCAGTTTTAATGCAAAAATAGTAAGTAATTTTATGTTTGAAAATGAAAGAGAGTAGTTTTCTTTCTTGAATCTAAATTTGTGGTAATAATTATATAAATATTTTTTCAGAATATAAAATTATTAAGATATTATTATTTTGTATATCAGATTATTATTATTATTTTTTCACAAAGATACATATTTTGGAAAGTTGAATGTTAATTTTCCAACATTTTGGAATATTTAAAATTTAAAAAGTATTTATTATGCAATATAATTAATATGGTTAAAACAGTATGGCAACATTATGACTTGAAGAGTAATTGAAAACAATAATAAAATTCATGGAATATTCTGTTAAAAATTTGAATTTGTTTTCCTATTAATAAAATAAATTAGTATATAATTTAATGTTCATTAATGGATGTTTATTATAAAAAAATTATTTATATATTTATGTGTGTTTTTCTTTGTAGGCATACGCCTTTGTTTATATTGTTTAAATGAAATTTCTTTGTTATGTTTTATCAAAACTTATTTTTTATTGAATATGTTATCATAAAATCAAATATTTTTTTGTCATTAACTATATGTTTTCTTCATATTTATTATTTTCAATCTGTATTTAATATAGTCGCCAACAGTCTGGAACAACAACTTCCATTTCTTCCCAGACTTCTGTTCAACCCCCAGCAACTCCTACTACACCCCAAATGATTGCACCACCAATGATTGGTTTGGTACCATCTGGATTTGGAGAAGTGAAACTTGAGGTTAAAGATGATACAAAAACATCATTTTCTGTTGGTGGTTTAAATGAGAGTAAAGATGAGAAGGTGACTATTATATTCTTGTATAATAATTGTATTACTTACTTTTATTCTATGAAAAGTAATATTTTTATTTTTCTTGGATGAAAAATTTGAAATATAAATGATGTATGCATGGTCCGTACAGACCTGGAAAGTCAGGGAAAATTAGTGAAAGTCAGGGAAGAAGATTTTTAGCTGAAAAAGTCAGGGAATCTGTGGAATTCTTATGTCTGTCTCACTTCTTTTTGATCTGAACTGTCTTTAAATTCAGTTTGGTATACAGAGGTCTACAAACAAATGACAAGATTTGTTGTTCTTATATCTCATAAACTATAAATGATGATCTAACAATTTAAATTTTGTTGGATAGAAGGTTTGTATCTGTATTTAACCCCTTAATGACCACCTGTTATTATGATGTAATTAAGCATAAAAAATACATAAAAAAATACTTAAAACTGAAAAAAAAAATGAAAGAAATGCATTTATTTTGAAGAAAAAGCTTGGAAGTTTAAGTTCCTTCATCTCGCCTTTCTGCGAAATTTAACACCGATGAGTCATTGTTTACTTCCAGCTGGATGACCTTGAGAACAGCTGGAGTCGGATTTCCTGGGGCATTCTCATAGACGTCTTGGGAGGACAAGGGTTTAAAGTAGGGTGAATATGAGCAACGCCTATATTTTTAAATATTTTTAAAAAATTAAGATTATAATTGCAATTTCCGACCCCCCTAATTAATTAAATTTATATATAATAAAATCGATTAATTAAAAAAATTAAAAAACTATCGGAGGTCGTTTTTGACATCAGAAACTAGCTTTAAATAACTTTACCGAAGGAAAATCCGTGCGCTACAACTTAGGAACCATGAAATAAATTTGATAAAAAACTCCCATTAAAAAACAATTGAGCCTTAATCGAGCCTTATCAAAGGCTCATTAAAATTGCGATAAAATTTTTTCACACGGGCAAAAATTTTTGCAAAAATTTGGAGAGTTAAAAATCATTCCAAAAATTGAAAAAAAAAATTTTGTCAAAAATGGCCTTAAGGACTGCGTTTTTTGTAACGCTATGTAAACTTGACGAGTTATCTCGTCAATGGGTGTTAAGGGAATTTATTATTAATTAATGGTGGGTAATGGGGTTGTGCAGCTATGTGGGGAGTGTAGTATTCACATACAACACTGAAAATGGCAACACAGTGAGGCATTTGGGCAGTGAAACTTGGATTGCAAAAAGATAAGGTATTAAAAGTGCATTGATTTGTACAGAATGACAGGATCTACAATATTATTTAGCAATAATAACTGATAAAATAGAATTTGTAAAGTTATAGGCTGATAACTGTGTGAATTAAAGAAAATTTTCATAATATTGAAGAAATTGCAAAGGAAATATGAACAGAAATGTAAGAAATGCATATCATTGGAAAGAAAAATTTTGAAGGAATCAGAAAAGCCCAAAATGACTAATGCTGAATGATGCAGCTTGTATAGAGAGTATGAAAAAATCGAGTGCACTGCTGCCTGAACTGATAGATATTAACTTGGAATGTGATAACCACCAAGCCTTTTTTTGTTTACATCTTATCCTTCCTCTAACAATACTGATTGTTTCATGCCTTAACTTAAATGATTGCAATTCTGTCCTGTACAAAAGCCTCTTAATTTTTTTGACCTGTGTGATGTTTGGTTAACTTATTGCAGTCAGTTGGTTCCGTGGGGAGGGAGGCAAAAAACTATCAGTCGGCTTAATGATATTGTGTACAGGACATTTTGGAATGTGTAGCAGACCTCGTGCAATTTGTGTGCTTTTATTCTTTGTATTCTTTACTGCTGGCTGCATACAGTATGTAGAGATCATCAATCCATCAAAATTGGCAGGATTATTATTTGTGATATGTCTTCTCTCTAACTGAAAATTTACATATTTAGATGGCCTGCAGAATTTCAGAAGGCCACATTTTTTGGGAGTATACCAAAATATCACCATAGAGTTAAAATCAGGTTTTCAAAAACACCATTGACAATGAATACCTGCCTTTCTTCCAAAACTCCACTGCTCCCACTATAAGTTTCAGGAAGGGATGGGAAGAAATGTAATGACCTTGAATGGGTCTGTGCTGGACCAAACAGCACATGATAAGCAATTTCTCCCTCTTGCAGAGTGCATGATTTTTTCTGTTTACTAATTATATAATCAATTTTATGCAAACTTTTTCATTTTCTGTAAGTGAATAAAGTATCTTTAATAAAAAAAAGTTATATAATTGTGTACAAAATGGTGCTTAAATAGATGGCCAAATATTACATAATGGAAAGGAGAAGTACAGAGATGTTAATAAGTCAGAATAATGTTATAATTGGTCAGGATATGTCAAGGAATCACAGATGGAATTATCTGTAGATTATTATAAAATATATGGAATTGTTGGGATGATGATTTATTATTAATTTTAAATGACTAAAAAATATTTTTATATTATTCTAGAGAATAAGAATGGTGATGATACTAGCATGTTGCTAATTTTTATCTAACAAATGTTATCATTCTTATTTTACAAATGTATTATTTTAATAACTTTGTTTATATCTTCATTATATCAGTATTTAAAAATATTTTTGTCCTGTTTATTTAATGTCATATAGATTGTGTTTAAATAGCCTTATCAGCAATGAATTATTAGCTTTAAAGTTTTTCTGTTGTAAAATATAAATAAAAAATTTAATTTTTTTCAGAGGTTTGGCTTTCCAGCTTCACAAGCTTCGAATTATACTGTCTCTGATTGTCGTAGTTTAGTCAAAACACTTGTATGTGGAGTTAAAACGATAACTTGGGGTATTGCTTCTTGTAAAGTTATTGGAGGTTAGTGATATCAATTTATATTATATTAATAAATCTTATTTGGTAAAGTTTATTCAGTCATTATTTGTGGCTTCATATTTATAATTTTAATTAAAAGTATTTTTTGCATATAAAAGAGAAATCTTTATAATAATAAAGTAAACTTCTTTTATTGTAACAGGATGTACAATATGTATACTGTATTTGTGGCATAGTAAACACTAGTATTGTGTTTACTACACAATACTCAACTAATAAAGGAATTTGATGGAAAATTTGCCATGTGTCTTTGGAATAAAACACAATACTAGAGTTTACTACGCCACAAATATAAAACAGGACACGGTTTCAAAAAACAAATGTATACTGTGGTTACATCAGTTGTATAATACTTTCCAGTCTCTGAATAAGTCTTGCTCCTTAAGCTAGTTTTCCTCTAAAAAACAAAGTATTAGACTCTCTTGTCATAGTTTCATATGTTCTATGGAGATGGACAGCTTAGACTCATAAATAGTTGATAAAGGAAGTGTGTTTTATGAAAATGTTATTTTCACCATTAGCAGTGAAAATAATAATATTTTCATTAAATAGGGTGTATTGCTTAATAATTTCATATTTTGTAAAATGGCTGCATGCAGAAAGTTATTGATCAATGAAGCTTACATTTAAAAAATGGTAATTTTAGGTCAGAAATACATAGTTCTGATGCTGAAACCAAAGAAAATGGATCTGATTTAAGTTCTGTCAATGTAAACATCATACTATTATATCAGACTTTATAATTTTAAAAAAGGAATAATAAATGCAAAAAATTAATTTATATAAAGACAATATTTGAAACAAGTAAAATGGCAAAGCCATTTTTGAGACGAGACTATTGTGGGGGCCGAGGGGGGAGAAATAAAAAAAACTCGATGAACAATAATAGCTGATATATATCGTCATCATCTCCCTTGCCATTTGGACTGCCGAGCGGTAACAACCAACGACATATGGAAACAGTTGAGTCAGAGATAGATGCTTCATTTACAAACAGCACAAACGTTTATTAAACACGAAAGAAGCTTACAAGATTTCCGCGATCTTGGAAGTTCTGCGGCGGCTGCGGCCGCTGAGTCTTCCTCTCCTTTCCAAGATAGTCCCATTTTGAAGGAGTATCCCTCGTTCACGAATGAACCATTCCATCACGTCTCGATGACTCCAGGTGATGCGGTCGACTTCCGTTGATGGAAAGATGTTGATCCGAGGTTGGGAGATGGAGACAAAGATGGATGTGAGACACACACACACACACACACACACACACACACACACACCAACAGATTTGGCACTTGGAACTTTCGGGAGAAGTCATTGCGTCCTTGAATTTCCGGGGTTTTATCCATTTTCTCTCAGAGTCCCCTTTCTGATTGGTCTCTCCTTGTCATCTGATGACAATTCGAAACCTTTCAGGGGTGCGGGAGAGGTCAAAATTTCAGTTTAATTCGATCTCCAACCGGAAATGGTTGACAGACTTACATTCTTCTATTGTTTAAAAGTTAGTGTCGCGTTTTCATAAAATAAAAATCTATTTCTAACTACTATACATTTTTTCTCTAAAACAATTATTTTAACGCAAATTTTAGTGAGGGTTCGGACCTGTCCAGAGCCTCACACTATGTCTCTGAGAGCTCATGCAATGCATGTGCAAATCTCACACTCACACCTGTTTGTAGAAACAATCAGCATTTAATATTTTTTTTTACTTGGTTCTCAGTTCCCAGACTACTTACAAGTCTGGTTTATTTTAAGTGCACATGACTTGGACACCAAATACTCTGTGCTAAATTGCTACTCCTGACATGTACTCCTTCATACCTCTAAGGTGTACAGCTGTTGACAGCAAAAATAAAAATATACTAAGACCATATAATATTATTTTAGTACCAAAGCATCAAAATACTATAAAAAATGTGTTGATAGTACAAGTAATAAAGTGGATCAAGATATATTAAATAAAAAAGGGGCTGCTTATAAATTTCATTGTAGTTGTCCATGTCCCTATACATATATAGGTGAAACAGGTCCTAACTTAAAATTAAGAAACAATCAACATATACAAGCTATTAAGTATATTTATAATATTTCTGCCATTGCTAAACACTGCAGTTCAAATGGATGTGAGATTAATCAGAACACTATAGGAATATTACAAAAAGAAAAAAATACATACAAATGACAACTTATAGAACATTTTTATATAAAAAACAAATAATAAAATAAATGGTAATTTAGGAAGAGAACTCAAACAGTCAAGGTAGCCACATATAAATTTAAAACAGTAGATAATACATTCCAATAAATGATCACATGATGGAACTAAGCTGCTTTATGAATAGTGTGGTTTGTCGTTACAAGTGACCTTACCAATTGTTTTAGTCAACTTAAAAAATGTATGTAACTCTTTTGGATGTTATTTTAGACTTTTATTTTATACTTAACATTGTAATATTAATTGTATTAATCTCATAATAGTTAAAAGGAAAATAAATGTATATGAGTGATGTAAAAGGGAGGTCAAGAGACAGTTTAATTAATGTAAAATATGATGGTTTTGATTTCATGGTATATTAAACTTAAAGAAGATAAGAACATACCAAAATGAAAATACCATGAAGAACTGAATATCACACAACAATGTATGTGAGGTATAAAATTAACTTTAAGTATGGTTACAATGTCTACTGATTTAACATCAATTTTTATGTTTGTTTTTTTACAGTTATTGTTGTAATGTTGAACATGGTTAGTTATATAGTAATCATTGGTTTTTATGAATATTGCATTTTTATTTATTAAATTCTTTTATAAAGTGTTTTAATTATAATATCATTATGTTAAAAGTATATATGTAACCAGGCTGAAGAGGGCTGTTGAATAAGTCAAAACATATTCCATGACATCATGCATTAATGAATAAAAATCAAAAGGTGTGTGATGAATCTGTACTTATAACAATAAGGCCAACGAGACTTGGTTATTTATTACTAATTAATCGATAATACATATTAGAAGCTTATATTGAAGTTTGAGTCTCTCAATACTAAAACATTAATTTAATGAAATCTGAAACAAAGATTTAAGAATCCTTCCTTATATTTTTGACTTGGTGACTTTTGAAGAATATTAAAAGTAAAGGAATTATGAATATTTTCCATTTAAATGATTATTGTTTAGAGAAAAACATTTCAAGTTTATTTTGAAACTGCTATTTTTTAATTCACTTTCCAAGAAATTGGAAAGTTCTGAAGATAAAACTCAATACACTTCTAAAGTAACATCAGATTAACAATTTTGAACTTTCTTTACCTATATGTAGAGGCTACTTTTTGTTGAAATTTTATATCAAAATAATATAAACATTGCTAAACCCAATATATAATAAAGCTACACACCAACCGAATGCCGAAAATCTATTGGGCTAGTATAAGGCTAATTAGTAAATGAATTACGTAACCAATTTGGCTTTAGAGATGGTGCCTAACGCTTACCTCTAAAGCCAAATTGGTTACGTAATTCATTTAATAATTAGCCTTATACTAGCCTGATAGATTTTCGGCATTCGGTTGGTGTATAGCTATATCAAAATAAATTAGAAAAATATAATATTGAAAAAAATGAAATTGCTGTAAACCTTTTTGTTGTTATAATGAATATATTTTGAATATTTTTGCTATTTTATTTGTAATATATAGTTGAAATATTTAAAAATTATATAATAATATGTATATGTTCATAACTAAATACTTATTCATAATCAGTCTATGACTTTGCTGCATTATTAGTATTAAATAATATTTATTTATTTTTATTAAATATTTAAAAATTAAAATTTTTATTACAGATTCAACTTTGACACAAAATAAACAGTTTCAACCAAAGGAAACACTTGTATTTATTCGTTTAGCCAAATATGCTCTACAAGCTTTAGATATCTATACTCTTTCTGTTCCAGCACAAGGACAACCACAACCTAGACAATCGTCGTATGTTTTTAATTTCTTTTATATATTATAGATTTTTATTAGTCACGGAGACTTGAAATTGAACACGTTCAAATTACAATATACGAGGGAATTTTTTCAATCTTTGATGGTCTATAAAAAAAAAGACAAGTGTAAATAACAAAATGAATATATTACCAAAAGATAGGTACAAACATGGTTACTTTTCGACATAATCACCGTGAATATTGAGGAATTTGTCATATCTGTGGATGAGCTTTTCCATCCCTTGTCATAGAATGTAGCCTCCAGTGAATTGAGATGGCCTTAACAATGTTGTTTAATTTAATTTATTTAGACATACTGGGTAATACCCATGATGTGGGGAATACAAAAAATTGTTACATACATTACACACCAAAAGAAAAATATATTATAATCCTTCCATTATTACAGAGAAAATTAACATTTACATAAATAAAACAAACAAATTATACAGATATTATTATAAATACCAAAATAAATACTTAAACAACATATTCAAATATAAACATATAACAAAACAAAATCATGGGGAGAACTATCCATACAAAAACATCATTATAAATAAACAATAATTACACCCACCTATAAGAGAAAAAAGAATAAGTAATCTGATCAAAATGTGAATAGTCTCCCAACACTTCTTATCCATGATCACGCTTTTAAAGGGGAAGCAAATGCCACCTTTCAACAATAATCGAATACTCCAATACACAAAACAAACAACAATGTATGTCACTCCATACAAAGGATCACTAAAATAAAATAAATTAACATAAGATTACCTTGGACAGAATTAGATCAGAAAGAAGGACCAGAACTTTTATTCTGGTCCTTCTTTCTGTTGGCCTTGGTGTGATAAGCCCAGCAAATTGTTATACCCTATTTATTAGGTTATCTAATTCTGTCTAATTTATAGTCGTGGGCAAAAAGTGTTGTTTATTATTATATGATTACCTAAAAAATAATTTAATCTTTTGAACAAAATTAATTAAATCAAAATTACTTAAATTACTGATAAGGTCCAGAAAATTCTCAAATGTAATAATAGAAATACCAAAGACACTTTCTCAAATTTTTTCTAAATTAGAACATTTAGCTATCATGTGAAAAGCATCCAATAACTGATTGTCCTGACAATATATGCAAATATCTCTGCGATAATTCTATAAGAGAAAAAAAAAAAAAAGTAATCTCATCAAAATGTGGATAGTCTCCCCAACAGCAATGTTTTGAAGATCATCATTAGTCTCAAACCTCTGCCCTGCTAGCCACGTTTTTATTTCAGGAAAGAGGTGGAAGTCTTCATACATTAAAAAGTTTTAAGCTAGGTGGAAGTCTTCACCACCTTTAAACACCCAGTTTGTATCCCTGATTTAGTGCCAAGTGACTTCACCTCTTTCCTGAGCAGGAAAAGTGACTAGGAGGGCAGAGGTTCAAGACTAGTGATGATCTTCAAAACAATGTTAGGGTCTATCTCAAGTCATTGGTGGCAGTATTCTATGACAAGGAGATGAAAAAGCTTATCCATAGATATGACAAATGCCTCAATCTTCACAGTGATTATGTCAAAAAGTAACCATGTTTGTACCTAACTTTTGGTAATAAATTCATTTTGTTATTTACACTTGTCTTTTTTTTTTATGGACCATTAGAGCTTGAAAAAAACAGCCTACGTTTATTACTAGCTGATAAGCTTGGCGTTGCTTGGGCAAAAAGTAATGATAGTGAAAATTAAGATTATTATAGCCAATCTTACCTGTTTTTACCTGGTCCAAGAATTAGGTTCACTCTCTTCTGAGACTAATTAGAGAATTTTTAGATGGGTCTAAAAACATGTTTGATTTCCCACAAGAAACCACATTTAAAATAGTACAGGAAAATCTGAATTCAGGGTAATCCATTACCTTCTCCCTCTCCTCTGGGGGGAATTTCAGAAAGCCTGTTCTTTGTCTACATTCTCATGACGTACCCTAACTATGTACTAAATTTTAATTTTTATCTTCTAACAATTGGGCTCTGCGCTTAATATTATTACAGTATTATTATTATTATCATCATCATCATTGTCATCATCATCATCAACCCATCTCGATTATATTATAAGATTAGGGTCAAATTTATGAGAAATTTTGTTTTCACTATTCTATTTATTGGATATCTAATAGAAAAAAATGATTAAAATCATTATTGCATTTTATCTGGATAAATTCTTAGTATTTAAAAAATTCTTTTATTTAAGTAATTTAAAAAATAAAAAAAATCAGAAAATTTTTCATTGTAATGGAGAATTAACTTACTTGATGATAACCTTTCTTGAATAAAATGATTAATTTTAAATTTTAAAATCTAAAAAAATTTGTGTGGAATTTCGAATTTGGGATGAATTTAAATGTTTGTTCAAATTCATTTATTTTAGACATGTTTATGAGTTACCTGAAAAGTGGAGATGATTAAAATATTTATTAATAGCCAAAATGTATACTACAGGATATGTGCCACTATTTACTTTCCTTCTTCATTATTTACACTTTATACTGACTAAAACTAATTCTGTCCTCTTCTTCCCTCGGGTTGGTGGAATTTCCAAAAATCCCTTGTTATTTTGCATTCTAATGACATACCTTACTAAAATGCACTCAAAAACACAAAAAACTGAATCTAAAATAGTACAGTAGAAGCCAAGTTAATCTTCTACCTCTCCCCGTGGGGGAATTTCCAAAAATTTTTTTTAGGGTACATTCTCACGGCATACCCTATTAAAATGCAGTTAAAAATAAAAAATTGCATCTAAAATAGTATAGTAGAAACTGAGTTCTTTAGGATTAACCTTAATCCTCTCCCTTGTGGAAGGAAACTTTGAAAAATCCCTTCTCAGTGTACATTTTTAAATTTCAACTTTCAACTCCTAACTGTTTTATTTATAACCGTATATATGAACTTTGATTATGTGATATTCCTTTGCCAGAAAAGGATTTTATAATGATATAATATATATATATATATTTAACCTTTACAAAAGACTAAGACAAACTATCAAAAATAATTAATAAATACAGTGGTACCTCAGGATACGAAATTAATCCGTTCCGAAACTGAGATCGCATCATGAAAATGTCGTAAGGTGAATCATCTTTTCCCATATGATTACATGTAAAACCAAATAATTCGTTCCAATGCAAAAAACATACTCAAATTAAAGCCAAGTAATACATTAAAAAAATAACNAAATCTTAAGAAAAACAAATGATATTTCAAAGTTTCGGATCTCTTACATTTTTTGGAAAAAGTATCCATCTTTGTTTAGATTTTTTTCTTTCATTAAGAATTTCAGAATATGGTCAAATGGATGCAATGATGCTCCTTTTTACATTTGCACTTTGCTCCCAATTGTTATCTCTCACCATGACACCTCCTTTATTCTTGTATAGTGGGTACGTAAACATTAGGTATTTTAATATTTTTATTTATTTTAATATTAATTTAATATAAATGTATACATACCCAATAATATTAAACAGAAAAAATAAATTTATTCAATAAAAATCTTTGTTTTAACAAATGTACAATGTTGCGACTCAGTAAATACATCAACACTGAAACAAAAATCAGTCTAGCATAGGGAAAATTGGGGAATTACATACCAAAACGGTGAATTGCACAGCGACGTTATTGTGAATTGGTGTCAGCGTAAACCGAGGGCTACTGCATATTATTGCACAGTGGCTTTATTGTGAATTGGCATAAAAGTAATGCAAATTTTCAGAAATACCTTTCATGTCCTCCAATTTAGAAATGTTTCTTGACTGGATTGCAGAAGATTCTTGATTTATACATTGGTCACTTGATGGAGTATTTATTTGAATACTTCCATTTACAGTTCCTTGGTCCCCATTTGATTTCTAAATAAATAAAAGTTTCATAAATTTTAATTTAAATAACAAATTTTTGTCATTTATTTTCAATAAAAATTATCTGTCAGAAAGTTTGATGAAGTTAAAAGGGACCTTCTTGTTTCTCATGGATGGGAAAACAGCTTAGTTCCTCCAAAAGTGATAGTTTAAGTGGATGTCTCACTCTCTCTGTGGGACCATGACTCTGTCATATGGTGGAAGCATGGTGAGATTTTCTAGTAATCCTATAGGATGAAATTTTAGCATAAAAGGTGAGAAATCACCATTAAACATGCTCTTGCTCTTTCTAAGGCTTGTGCCAATGCTCTTGTCTCTTTTCCAGTTCTCTACTTTTACTCATTCCCAAGAACATTCACCTCTCCACATCAAATAAGGGAGTATTACAGATAGTATGAATTTTAATGTAAACTCTCATAGAAAAGCTTTAGGGAGTAGACTGTTGTTATTTTATCTCCTTTGGAATCATTTATAATTTTGAGGTTTACTTTTGTTATTATACCATATTTTATATAATTAACATTTGTATAATAACTTTGATCATCCCTTATTAATAAATTTATCTTTTAATTATTGCTTTTGATTCGTTAGTGTTTAACTCATCATCAGCCCATGAAATTCATGTAATTCACGTATACCATATTATTAGCAATTCAACTAAAATCCTCCTAAAATTCTGATCAAATTTCTAATATACTTTTTCCACTTGGAAAGGAACTGATTTTGAATTAGGATGCGAGATAATTTATCATAGCTGGTGTCAGGACTCTTGAGAAAAATTTCTCTGATCTTTCTTTCATTTTACATTTCCATTCTGAATCTGGAATATTCTGGAGTTCCCAGATCACACACACACAAACACACACACATATATATATATCATATCAGATTTCAATTATTGAATATTAAGATATATAAATATTATTATTGTTATTGTATTTTAATTGAATAATAAATTAAGTTTACTTATTATAAAATTTGAAATTTGTTGTTTAAAATTTAGTGTACAGACTGTGCGGTCAAAGGAAGAAAAAGAAGTATTAGAACATTTTGCTGGTGTTGTAAGTGAAAATAATATTTCTTTATATTTAAATGAATTAATAAAAATACATTTTTGTTACTGTTTTATTTTTATTAAAAGTAATTATTTTAATAAGTATGCTTAACTCTTGGTTTATCCAGAAGGATTGATTGTATAAAATCAAAATCATGTAAATTGAGACAAATTTAAATGGAAAATGGATGGATATGTTTGATGGTTTCATGTTTTATTAATTTAATATTGTTTTTCATAAATACTGTAGTTCTAGGGCCGTGATTCTCAATCTTTTTGAAGTCTGGGAATACTAAACTTTGACATTTTTTTTTTTGCAGAACACTTAAAATACATCAGCTTTAAAGCAGGTGTGGCAAACCTTTTTGAAATCAAGAGTGCACTCGTTCTAGTATACGACATCATTGGAATTTGCCGATTACATTCCCATACAAAAGTTATTTTACAATGTATTGATTTTTCTTTTGCAACAATTTTTAATTGCGTATTTGATTTTTTCANCACAGTTAATATTAAAAAAAAATTTTTCGTTTGGCTTAACATTGACAAAAATTCAACATGGCGGCCACACTCAATGGAGAAAAATTTCAACATGGGATAGATTAAAGAAGGGGTGGCAAACCTTTTTGAAATCAAGAGTGCACTTGGTCTAGTATATGATGTCATTTCCATTTGCTGATTACATTCCCATACAAACATTGTTTTACATTGTATTAATTTTACTTTTGCAACAATTTTTAATTGTATATTTGATTTTTTCATGGAACACTTGAAGTAGCTTCACCTGTGGTCTGTGGAACACAGATTGAGAACCACGCACAGTTCTAGGGCATTAATATTTGCCATGCAATATTTTATTTTTAGTTAAAAAATACTTTTTGTTTTATGTTAACTTTTGTACATCATATATTATTTTTTGTCATATATAATTTAAATATTTTTGTAATAAATAATTTTTTATTTAGTTTACAATGATGAATCCAATGACCTTTAGAGAAGTATTTTCAACAACTATTGAGGTAAAGTTAAGTTAAACATAAATTAACAATAACTTATGTTTTAACTTTTAACGTTTTTTAATAATTTACATTTATAAATAAGTTATTTTCATTTATTTTTTAGTATGTTGTTGAAAGGATATACAAGAATTTTGCTTTGCAGGTAAATCAGAAAAAGTTTTTATTGTATAGTTTTTTGCAGACAATGTAAATTGAGTATTGATAGTAAAACAAAATTTAATTAGATTACCAGAAAAAGATATTACTGAAATATTTTTAAAATAAAAAAATATTAGATAATTAGTTACTATGTGAATAATAATTGTAAATTAATGCTATTCTTTGAATTAAAATTTATAAAATCTATATAATTTTAATTTTAGCTTGTTGCTAATTCCTTTCTTGCAAATGTGTCAACTTCACCAGTTTTTGCAACAATTCTTGTAGAATATTTATTAAATAGAATGGATGAAATGGGATGTAAGTATTTTCAATTTTATTGAAAAGATTTTTATTTAGGTTTTTAATATAAATCTTAATATCTTAATGATGTAAAATATTGAAAACTTTTTTCATAAAGTCAAAAAAGTAGTTCTTAAAAGGTAAGTTAGTGTTTTGGCTTTATTACTGTCCAGTAAAATCTGTTCAAAACAGATCTGACCTGGATAAAATAGAAACCTGCCGAAAAGAAAAAAAATTCAGAATGGAATGATTTTCTACATGAAAAAAACTTGTTTAAAACAGAAACCACCAAACTGGAAAAAATATTTGGTCCTGTACAATTCTGGTTTACACAGGTTTTACTATATTGAAATACAATAGAGCATCGATTATCTGAATACTGATCAACCAAAACATCGGTTAACCAAAAGTGTTCCAGTCGGCAAATTCTAATTTCCACTAGGGCTGTGGCGTTGCAGCACTTCCCCTCCCTGCCAAACTGAACTGTAGCCTAGTTTTAATATATTATATTATATAAGGTATGTATTTATAAGACATGTGATACAAATTATATACAGGTAGCCCTCGGTTTACGCTGGCTCAATTTATGCCAATTCACAGTAACGCTGCTACGCAATTTGCCGTTTCATGGTGTAATCCCCCGATTTTCCCTATGCCAGACTGATTTTCATTTCAGTGTTGATGTATTTATCGAGCCGTGACATTGTACATTCGTTAAAACAAAGATTTTTATTGAATATATTTAGTTTTTCTGTTTAATATTATTGGGTATGTGTACATTTGCATTAAATTAATATTAAAACACTAAATGTTTAGGTACCCACGAGTCAAGTTATCAAACTTAATAGTCCAATAAATGGTGTCCAAATCCATAGCGCCAATGAATGTTCCCGTATCAGTTCGTTTAGGAAAACACCTTATGATGCAGTAGCACTTCTGGCGATCATAAACTATCGTTAGTGAGACAAATCTACTTCTCGTTGGCCAGATGATATCTATCTCTCTTTAGTCACCTTCAATTTTCCCCGCTCAAACTGACCTTATACATGCGCTACAGCGACCGGCGGTCGACCAATCAGTGTTTCCGCTCGTCCGTAGCTCTATGTCGGGTTAACATATCCTTTCAACTATGGAAAGTTTACAGATGAACTTTGTGAGTTAGACAATGATTGGGAGCGAAGTGCAAATGTAAAAAGAAGCATCATTGCATCTATTCAACCATATTCCGAAATTCTCAATGAAAGAAAACAAAAATGTAAACAATTAAAGATGGATACTTTTTTCTGAAAAATGTAAGATATCCGAAACTAAAATTTTTTAATAAAAACATTTCACTTTATTTTATGATAAAATACATTTTAAAAATTAAAAATTTATATGTATTTTGTATTATATTGTATTAATAAACAAAATTATTTGCTTACTTTTTACTTATGTAGAACCTAACCCTACACCTCACTGTAAATATGGGTTTGTTTTACGCCAATTCAATTTGCGCCGGCTTTTGTAGGATTGGAACTGCAGCGTAAACCGAGGGCTACCTGTACAGTACAGTTTTGTGTTTAATATATTTTTTTGTAAATGATCAGTTATCCGAACAACCCCAGTCCTGAATTGTTTCGGATAATCGATGCTCTACTGTAATTAAATTTAATAAAAATAAAATCTGTGATATATTTTTATAATAGTTCGGGGGTAGGCTGAAAAGTAATGCACACATGCTTGTAGAGCGCGAATGAAATGATTTTCAGAAGCATGCCAGGTGGCATATGGAAGTAACATTCCCCCTCTATGCATATGTGCAGTTTGAAGTTGTTGTGTTCATTCAGTATATTTTGAGAAGCGGAAATATGGAGACGTGTTCTAGTGCTATGTCAACGCAAATTAAACAGTGTGCTGTTATCGAATTTTTAACTGCTGAGAAAGTGACTCCTACTGAGATTCATCGTTGTTTAAAGGCTGTTTATGGTGACAATGCTGTTGATAGGTTTACTGTAAATCAATGGATAATAAAATTTCGTGGTTGTGAGCCTGGAAAAGCCTTAATTGTTGATGAAACATGCAGCGGATGTCTGATCACTGCCACAGACGATTACCATTGCCCCTTGTTGCAATGCTTAATTCTTCTTAGTACATACAGACTCTAAAACACCTCCAACATTGAGTTTGTCATGTTAGAGACAGCCTGATGCCAATAATCTTGCAATATGACAACGCTCGTCCACATACCTCGCGTGCAACTGGAGAGGCTCTGTGAAACCTGAAGTTTGAACCGATTCCACACCCTCCTTGTTCCCCTGATCTTATGCCTTGTGATTTTTATTTTTTTCCTCTACTCAAGAGAGAACTCAAGGGTGATCATTACACCTCAAACGATGAGGTGAAGGCAGCTGTCAAGTCCTTGATTGGAGAAAAGTTGGAAGAATTTTTCAGTGATGGAATGAAAAAACTTGTTACACGTTGGGAGAAATGTGTTAGCCTTAACGGTGACTATGTTGAAAAATAAATATATGATTTTGAAGCTTAAAAATTGAACTTTAATGTACTTTTTGCCCGATCTTGCAATTTGTTTTTGTTCGTGTTCTACAAGCATGTGTACATTACTTTTCAGCCTACCCATGTAGTTTATACTATACTTAGAGAATTCTTGACTTATCCAACAAAGATGAAGAATAAAAAATGAATTTTTTAATATGAAAGAAATAATGGAAAATTTGTAGAATAGATAACACAGCTGTAAAGTATTAACATTGTTCAGTTTTTTATATATGTATATGTATACTTTATATTTATAAAATTTGTCAGTCCTTTGGGCTATGATTCTTAACAAGATTTTGGATGTGTCTTAATAAAACTTAAGAATTTTTTTATAAGTGTAAAATTAAAGAATATGAATCATAACTGAAATTTTATATTATATCAATAAACGGGAAAAAAATATAATTCAAAATTAGCTGTTTTGTTACATGCTTAAAATTATTAATTAAAATCAATCAAATCAAATTTATTAATCATAATAGGCCATAGCCTGTTATAACAGGTGTTAGACTTACATTATATCAACATTTACTTACATCAGCATAAACAACAATCATGTAAAACTAAGTGCTATAAAATTACAATACCTATGTATATCAGGTTTGTTACATATAAAATTAGAGAGGCTGGTTACAAAAATTTTTTGTGAAATTATACAATTGGTATGTCATTGTAGTGTTTGCTAAATGAAATAACCAATACATTTGGTTTTCCTCCTTAAAAGTATTTAGCTGATTTAGCTCACCATTAATCCTTAGTTTCTGGCCTTGCACTCACAAAACATATGAAGTTTAGTCAATATTTCTTTGCATTTTGGACAGTATGTTTTTGAGAATTCATAAATTTTATTATTTACCATAATCATCATTTTATTTAATCTAAGTTAGATAAAAAAGTTCTTGATTGCAAACGGCATATTCGATAACATGTAGTTATTATTAAAAGGGAAATCTAGAATAATGCTTTACCACTCTGGTTCTTTCTGGTTGTACATTTCTCCAATGTCTTGAGATAGAGAAATTTTCAATGTATTTTGGATTAGTTGAGTTTTAATCAGGTCGCTAGTTTCTGATTTTACCAGCAGTGGAGTTATAGAAACACCAAAGTCATTGACACTATTTGTCATTTGGTTCACCCAAGAACTTTTCTTCAGATTTTGACAAGATTTTTGCCATAACAAGAACAACAGCTTAGAAGGTAAATTTCCATATTAATTAAAATGNAAATCAAATCAAATTTATTAATCATAATAGGCCATAGCCTGTTATAACAGGTGTTAGACTTACATTATATCAACATTTACTTACATCAGCATAAACAACAATCATGTAAAACTAAGTGCTATAAAATTACAATACCTATGTATATCAGGTTTGTTACATATAAAATTAGAGAGGCTGGTTACAAAAATTTTTTGTGAAATTATACAATTGGTATGTCATTGTAGTGTTTGCTAAATGAAATAACCAATACATTTGGTTTTCCTCCTTAAAAGTATTTAGCTGATTTAGCTCACCATTAATCCTTAGTTTCTGGCCTTGCACTCACAAAACATATGAAGTTTAGTCAATATTTCTTTGCATTTTGGACAGTATGTTTTTGAGAATTCATAAATTTTATTATTTACCATAATCATCATTTTATTTAATCTAAGTTAGATAAAAAAAGTTCTTGATTGCAAACGGCATATTCGATAACATGTAGTTATTATTAAAAGGGAAATCTAGAATAATGCTTTACCACTCTGGTTCTTTCTGGTTGTACATTTCTCCAATGTCTTGAGATAGAGAAATTTTCAATGTATTTTGGATTAGTTGAGTTTTAATCAGGTCGCTAGTTTCTGATTTTACCAGCAGTGGAGTTATAGAAACACCAAAGTCATTGACACTATTTGTCATTTGGTTCACCCAAGAACTTTTCTTCAGATTTTGACAAGATTTTTGCCATAACAAGAACAACAGCTTAGAAGGTAAATTTCCATATTAATTAAAATGAAAATCAAAAAATATTAAACAGTACTATTAAAATTATAATAATTTATAATTTTGCACTTTGTTTTCATTTTTAGATAGTTCATTAGGTGTGAAGGGTAATTATGAGGATTTTGAAAACATTTAAATATTTCAAAAACAAATTTTATCAATATTAGATCATTAGAATTCTCTGAAATTAATAATTTTGACTAACACAGTGTTTTTAAAAAGTATTTACAACAATATTTAAAAAGAATTCTTTCAGTAATTGATTTTGAAAAGTTTTTGCAAATTTAATTTTTATTTCAAACCAAATATAAGAATACATAATTATAATGTATTTGTAAATGAAAGTGAAAAGAAATAAAATCAAAATATCATCCATATTGTCATGCTAATTTTTAATATAAATAAAAATTTCTGTAATGTATTAAGGATATTTTGATTGATTTATAGTACAAGTATACTGTGTATAACCAACAACTAATTTAATTCAGTTTTTTAGAAATGTAGCTTTATATTATATATTTTTAATAAAATTATATAAATATGTATGTATGTATGTATGTATATGTTAGAACAATGATGAGACAGTTCTTTAACTTAGAATTAAACTTTATTCTAATCTAAGACTATACATGCATTTGTTCACATATCCATAACTTGGCGAGCAACTGAAAACATGTTTCTTCTTGTTTCAAGTGGTCTTGCATGGGTGTTGCCAGTTCATAGACAATTTGTTGTATCGACACTTGCTTTAGTCTAGTATTACCTAACAGTATATATGTTTTTTCTAATATATTATACATATATTATATTATTCTTAAAATAAATTTCAGATCATGTTATTATTTCATAAACAATTTTGTTATTATAGCAAATATGGAACGTTCTAACTTGTACCTGAAACTTTTCAAGTTAGTATTTGGTTCGGTTTCATTGTTTGCTGCTGAAAATGAACAAATGTTAAAGGTAACTATTTCAATTTATTTTTACTTTTTTACTTAAAAAATTAAGATTCTTTTTAGTTGATTTAAGTAATAATAGAAGTGAAAGTAATAGAAAATTTTGAAATTAAATAGCTGAATATAGTAATTCTGTAGTAAATCACATAAATAGCTGAATTTTTAAAAATCTATTATTATTTTATCATTATATTAATTCATTGTATTTGAATTGTTTAATAAAATAAACATCTTTGTAACTAAATAACGATTTAACAGTTTAGAACAGTGTTTCTCAACCTCTAACGAATCGTCGCCCCCTTCAACGTAGTATCGCCCCCTTCAATAAAACCATTACCTATTATCGCCCCCTTCACTTCAAAATTCCGATGCCGAGAACCAAGACTAACGCCAAATTCGTACTGCATCGAATAGACTAGTGACTAGTATAATGTTATTTGTTTAATTATTGTACGATATAACAAATAAAATATCTAATTATTCTTAATATAATGTTTTACTATATCGCTCAGAGAATTGTTTTTCGCTCCCCAAAATATAAATTGTTACTAATCGCCCCCTCAACATGGAAAAACGCCCACATGGGGGCGATATCGTCCCCGTTGAGAAACACTGGTGTACACTTAAATTTTTTCTTACTTATGAGTCTTTTGTTAAGATTTGAGACAGTTATGAATGACCATATGAGTAAACAATAGTCTATGACAGACTAAACGTATAGAAAATATGACTATTGTACACTACAGTTACGAAATATTGAAATATACTAACACTACATCGCCCTGACTCGAATTGCACTTATCGGTGGTCAGGTGGAAAAAGCACACCAGTAGGCAAGTGAATAAAACAATTGAACAAAGTTATTTGGTCATGGTTTATACCTTCCCAATGGTTGGCCAAACGGCATTTTTCGCGATGTTTTTAAGAATTTCATACGTATCTAAAAAGCCTCCTGAAGAGCTTTCTTCTTTGGAGAATTGCCCATTTTGTAAATGCAATAAATTCTACAATACTACAAAAGTAAGGCATGAGCTTATCGGTTTGAGGAACCCAAAACCGAATCTGTATAAGCGACAACAAGAAGTTTTTACGAGCAATAAGACTTGGTTATAGCTAGTCCCAGCTCATACCACACGATAACAGTGAATATGAGTCTGTAGAATCAACGAGAAGAATGAAAAATGCCCTCTTGGTTTCCATTGTGGAAGAATCAAAAATGAAAATAAATCGTTAAATTCAGATCTACTACAAAATACTGTATACAGTATTTTTTATTAAAACATACACAAAATTAATGTAATTTTTGTTTTCATTAATATATTTAAATAAAAAAAT